TAAAAAAAAAAATTTTGAATTTACTTACTTGTAGCCAGAGTTAGAGGCGGTCGGATACTTATGACCGCTACTGTATTGTTTATTAAATAATTTAAATAATTTAATCAAATTATATTAGATTAGGTCAGGTCAGGTCAAATGAAAATTTACATCAGATCAGATTTTTGTTTAATCTGACCTAGTCCTCTCAGTTCAGATAACTTGATTGATCTGACCTGAACTAACCTATTCAGAACTCTAATCAGATGTAATTTTGAGAATACTGAACTAAGGTTAGAGTTATAAAGTTAGAACAAGATTCTAAATAAATTACCTTTGCTAATCAACTGTGAAAGGATTCTTCTTCTAAAATACTTGCTAATATACAAGACTTTATAAGCAAATGAAGTAATACCTATTAATTCTAAACTATTAAAGGAAAAGACCATAAACTTTTCCTGAATGAAGTAAATAAGAAAATAGTTAGTGATAAAATTAGGCAGAGAAAGCGAGAAGAAAAGCTTATGAAAGTAGAATCTATTTTTCTCTAAAAAAGATAAACAGGTATCAGTTGACAATAGTATACTTTATAAGAAAAATCAGATAAAATAAAGGAAAAAATTTATTTAGAAAGTATCTGTTAAAGCAATTACTAAAGTAATCTTAGATGATTCGATATTTTTAGTATCTTCCTAAATTTAAGTACTAATTGTTCTAATACTATTGATAAGTCAAGCTCAAATTCTTTGAATATTTATCTAGAATAAATAGTATAAAGCTATAATTCTTCAGCAGTAGAGATAAGAACGCTAACCTTTTCTCTTTTATATAAAAAACTTCTCAATGCTAAAGATTTTATTGATCATGTAATTCAAGAAGTTATTATATGTTACTATCAATTTGGGAAAATTCTTATTCAGAAATGAAGTGAGATAGCATTTGAAAAATAAGTTAATTTGAAATCCAATACTATCAGTAGAATTTTAAATATTGAAGTTAGAGTTTGGCTTTTTACAGATACTTCTGATACACTTTTATGAAAAAGATTAAGCAGATTAAGAAATTCTGAAAGCTCTTTAATATAATAGATATGAATAAAATTTATCAAATTTATTTCTTTTCTGTTAGTAGTATCTCTAAAATGATGAATAAAAATATTCAGTATATTATAAATAATATACAGTTGACTATAACAATAAGATAGAATTATCCGCTTGTATTTTATCAAAAGATAGTTTATTAAATGATAAAAAATTCTGAATTGTCTTATTCTGATCTCAGTTCAGGAAGTGATAAGAAAAATTCTGAGTTATCATATACTTCTAACGTATTGGGGGAACAAGCACTTAATACATCTTTAAAATCTGATGTAAATATTTTGTCTACATCTTGTCTACCAATTCCTAGAACTAATCCAACTTATAATCGCATTTATTTTTGCAACAAGATATTGGATCAATATCCTAATTTATATAGAGAAATTAGTGGTAAAAAATTTTGATTATTATGGCATTACTGATGAGACATCATGCAGTCCTAAAAGGATCTGTCCATTATGCATATTAGATCATAATGATGAGGAAATATAGAAGTTAACATAAAGCTGGATCCTATTTTATTAAGTGTGGACAGCACAAAATTGAAATAGTTGCAAAGTCTCATTGCTTTACAATAGTCTGGATAACTCTTTGTGTGGGTGATAATTTATCTGGGAATTTTAACCTTTTTCTCGAATAAATAGGTCTATATGAGAAAAAAGGGATTTAAATTGACTCGCAATCATATAAAATTAAGATATGTCTAAGACTGATAAAATACTAACTTCCGAATATCTGGATTGGCATGCCAAATTAAGTGGGTTACCAAGCATTTTGACGGATAAGATTCGATCCAGCTTATACAAAAAATATAAAAAAGAAACTGGGTATGAGCCATGGCAATTATCAGAAGTACATGCATCAGAAGTCATAAATTCGATGCTAGGAAACAAAGTATCATATTTATCTTTTTCTGAGCCATGTGAAGGAAAAGGGCCCATCACTTTCGAAGCCAGACCTGATCCAGAATTAATTATCAAATCCGTCTTAGAGCATTTCCCATACTTGAAATTCCGAAATAGTTTAGAGGGATTGATAATTTTATTTTTGCATCACCTCAGCCGTGGAGCTCACCATGCCCTATTTGCAATGGAAAACATGGAAATTATGGATTACATGGCCCATGGTATCGCGAAAAAATGGGAATCAGTTCCCTTATGATCCTGAATTAGCGAAGTTGTATTCCCAAGATATAAGTTGGAATATTGCCTTTCCTGCAACAGTTCAAGCAATAAATTTATATTCACGATCGTAGCATAGAAGCTTTGTCGTGTATTCTCACGCTTGTATTTATTTTTCATCGCTCGCTTTACGAAAGAGGAGCGAAAGGGCTGGCAAGGTATAGCTTTTTAATGACATTAGTAAATCGATCTTTTCCCGCTAGATTTATTTTAACTTTATCTAATAATAATACATCCGAGTCGGAAGTCGGTTACCCGACCAGATTCGACTCGTTCAGAGCACTACACTCAAATACAAGCGAAAAATTAACATGAAATTCATGTTCAACATATCATTGCTTTATTAGTGAAATAAAAAATTTAATTCACATATTAAAATTAAATTATTTAAAATTATAATAGTAAATATTAAGAAAAAATGCAATTATAAAAATTCTTTGTCAAAAAGAACGTAATAAAAAAAATGAATAATAAATTAAATTATTATCGAGTTCTTGAGCTCAGTAAAAAAAAAAAAAAATCTGAAACGATTATATTTTTACAAGAATATAATAAAATAAAATGAAATTACATAAAATATCTTTCAAAGATATATCTTTAGAAGTGGGCTTTAATTTTATGATAGTGTTTAACCCTTTTTTCGAATACCTCCATTCTATGGTCCAATTCTTTTATGGTATCTTTCAAGTTGTCCATAAGCATCGCATGTTTCGCTTGGAACTCAGTCAAGTATCCTCCACCATTTTTGATACCAATAGCCTGGGTTATGATAGCAACGTATGCCAAAAGGACGAAAATGGTGATTGCAAATTTCGTGGTTGTGAATTTCATGATGCTGTTTCTTAATACGATAATTTTTTGATTTTTTGAGGTTATCTCAAGAGTAAGATTTAAGTTGATTTTGTAATGGAATAATGATGATAAGTATCTGGATAATGTGGATAATGGTAAATTTTGATTGTATTTATATCTTTTTCTTCCATATTATGTAGAAAATATTGAAAAAAGTCCGATCTTTTTAATTTCTTTTTAATTTCTTTTAATTTAAAACGTAAATAAAGTTTCAAGATTTGCGATTTAAAAATTAGTGCCGATCTTATAAGACAATTCAGTGAAATATCATATGATTAAATAGACAATTTTTAAAATCTTTATTCTTCCTCATTTAAATAATTAGTAGAATGGGTAAAAAATGTTGCGAATGCCAGTAAAACCATATGTATATGATTACCTGATCCGGAGGATATTCAGTTATGATTTTGTGAAAACTCATGATTCCACTGTGCGTGGATTTCAAAATCAGCCAAAGGTTTGGTGTGACCAATAGATATCAAGTTAAAACAACATATGATTTCTCAACTACTTTGATTTTACATATTTATTTATTAATTTATAAAATCCAATACAATACAATTGAATTAAAATAGAATTATTTATTTGGTGATTGATGTGTATATATATATATATTTTTTTTTTTTGGAAGTTTTTTTCTTTCCTTAATTATCAATTATGATAACAAGAAAACAAGCAGTCAAGGATAATATAGTTAGTATAGTACCCACTAGTACACTACCTCTACTAGCAGGAAAATGACCCGTTGTCATTAAATATTGAGAATGAAAATATCTAACAATGCCAAAACCTAGGAAAAGAATTCCCAAAATTATAAAGACAATACCAATTATGTTTCCTCCCTTACTGGATTCTCCCTTTAATCGAAATAATTGTGTGATCGCTAAATAAAATAAGAATGATAAGAGAAGGACGTTCGTTTAAAATTAATCAATACCGACATAATTTACTCACCAACACCGATTCCTACGAATGATAGGGAAGTACGAAGCCAAGCTAAAAATGTCCTTTCATTCGCTATTGAACCATGAAATTTAATTGAAGTTAATGATATGAAATCATGATATACAATAAAGCAAATTCAAATATATATTTCAATATACCCAAATGATCTCTAGCAACACTGGCCTTATTCTCCAACACCAATGAAGGTTTATATTCATCAAACTTCTTTACCATCCACTTTCTAAATGAACTTTTTGAACCATCATCTTGTTGATAGCTACGAATACTATATCCACTACCCATATTATTATTATTATTATTATTATTGCTTTGATGTTGTTGCTGTTGTGCAGTTGAATTTGTATTATTGGGAATTTCTTTATCTATCATTTTTTTATCGTCGCTGTTGCAGGAAATGGAATTTTCTTTTTGATAACCTATAGAAGATGAGTCCTCAGCTTGTTCCGGTAAACCAGAAGTACGACGATAAATAAGCTTTGAGTTGATTTGTTGATTTGAGAAAGTCACGGGATTTGGTGAAGGCATTTTATTAGAACTGAGACAATATAATGTTCAGAAATTATCGATGAACTTCTAGTGAGAACGAATATCAATGATAAAAAATTTTTTTGATGATTCGTGGAAGAGAAAAAAAAAAAAAAAAAAAATTTTAAGGTTAATTGGCGCAAAAATAAACAGTTTCGTTTAATGCATCTATATATATATCAATCGTAAAATGCAGTTGGCGTATTTAAAAACGTTTCACGATGAAATTTCTCGGTCGATCTGACCAATATTATTTGTACGTCATATTAACTTTCGTAACTCATAAAAAAATGAAGAGTTAAATATATATATGTCAAACCATTTTTACATTCGCTCATTTAAGAAAATTAACCCTTTGCGAATGAAATGGAATATCCGCAGCAAATCTTTTTTTTTTTTTTAAAAAAAAAAAAGGAAAGAAAACATACCGACCAAAAGAATTTCATTAAATTTTGTTTATTCCAACACAAAGTTTATTATATTATTAACGTGTTTATGAACGAGTTTTTTGTGGCGACGAACAAGTTTTAACGAGTACAAAACTCATGATCATCAAAAAACTGGTGGAAAAAAAAAAAAAAAAAGGGAAGCGATTTTTTTCCATGAAAACAAAGAAACAGAAAAATTAGTCACAACATATCCTGATTGAACATGTAATGAGATAATAAAATAAAGAAATGTACTAGTTTCAAACATTTTTGACAACAAAGTCCATTCTCACGTGAGAATTTAGAACATAATAAATGACTGTTCCTTATAGATATAACGCCACTTCTTTTTAGACCAAACGCAAACACGAAAAGAACAGTCCCTGTAGAAAGAAAAAATGTGGGAAATATTGTTCGTGATATTGAGCCACTCCCAATTTTTCATAGACCAAAATAAAAATAACCTTTCTTTGTTTCGTCGCATTTAAAATGTACTAGTTTGCGATTTATCGGAAAATTGCCCGATTAGATTGACTTTTTATTACCAGACATTAAAAATTATACAATATATACTTTCCATGAAAAATTATAAGTATTAATTAAAACTATTAACACTGCAAACATATGTTGTCATGTCATGTAAAGTTACGTTGCAAGTTTTAATTTGGGTTTATTTCCTTCCCCCTTTTTTTTGAGCCTCCTGTTTCGGGCGATGGATGGATGGATGGATAAGAACAAATGAATTCTTTTGATTCTAACCTTCTCTATCAAAGAAAAATCTAGGGATTGTGAATTCCGGAATCCAAATAAATGTTTTAATTAAACTTTAATATTATAGATGAGCAGTTTTGGAACAATGTGTAATACAATGAAATCCGAATGTTTTCATTATTTGATAAATGTACCCCTAATATATTTGTGTGAATAGTAACAATGGGCAAATAACATAAATAAACTCTAGTCAATCATGAAATGTTTTTCTTTTAAAAAAAAAAAAAAAAAAGGGTGTTGAAATGCATTCCTTTCCGTGTGATATGTAAGTACTAATTATAAGCATGAGCAAAGCGTTATAGCCAACAAACTGCTTTAACACGCTTACCGCACGTGATATGAATGATATAAATGATACATCAAACCCCTTTGTAATTTTCCTTGGTTTCCAAATTTGATCTCATTTCCATTCATCCTTGTTGTGGCGCGTTTCTAATTTTACACTACATACAAAATATTTATATGCCTTCCCAACTTCCACCAAATAATACAAAAGTAATGATAAAAGATATTGTACTCTTTTTGTTAATGATTTGTGGCTTTATTTACTAATTTGGTTAGAAGATTTTCAAATAAGGAAAGGACGTGCTGTTACCAAAACTTAAATTAGTCACTTACTATTATATAAGTTTTCACATCTTCTAAATAAATAAATAAATCAGTTCAATTTTGTTTGTTTTAAAGAATAATTAATAAGAATGGGGGGGGGGGGGAACAAAAAAAAAGATTTAGATAAAAAAATTCTTTTAAATTTGATTTCATCTCGATGGAAACGGGAAAAGGAGTGTCTAGGAGTGATTCATTTTAATCACTTTTGATGATAATTATAGACCCTTTGTTGACATGGAAGCAAATCATGTCCAAAATTAAACTTATCCTTCCCATTTTTTTACCGAAAATATACAATAAAACCAATTGGAATAAACGGCGCAATCGGATGTTATATAATATATATATAATATAATGATATACAATATTATTATAAAATAAATATTATACATATCCTACTGTATTTCAAAAAATAGTACATATAAAAAGCGAGAATTTTCTCGGTTCCCCCCCTTTGGAAAGTTTTTTCTCAATCGATTTGATATTTCGCCACGAAACTTTTATTTTTCTTTTCAAATAAAAAATTTTTTTTTTTTGTACATAAAACGACTTTAACTTTTCTTTTTTTCTTTTAAAAAAAAAAATATATATATATATATATATTATTTTTTGTTTTTATTTATATATATACATAATATATATATATATCTATCTCGGGGGGATAAACTGATTTTTCTTATTTATTTCTTTTACTCTTATAATCTTGTTACATAGTTCAATAATACCAAAAGTAAATTTCTTATAGTACAAAGCCGGGCTTTGTTATCTTTGCATCTTATTTAATAATATTTCTTTTTCTTTTTCTTTTCATACCTCACTTTCTAGTAAACACTTTTTGCATTCATCTCTCTTTTTTTCTCTATCATTTAAAAATGCATGCCACCAACCAAACTAATAATAATAGCTCAACATCTCCAATCGATCTTACTTTTATTTATACTTTATCCATTGTAAAAATTAAATCCATCGGTAATCAAACTAATTCGCCAAAAATTCGTAAAGATTCTAATAACCATTTACGTAAATTGGTCTTAATTAATACATTTATTGAAAGAAAAATGGCAGTTTACGAAGAAATATTAAAATCGAAGAGATGTCAACAACTACAAAAACAACAACTTGTTCAATTTTCTCCTCTTACCCCCCCTCCTTCTCCTCCACCAATGAACAAGCATTTTGTAATGTCCCCTCAAAATGTTAAACAAAAAATGCTCCAACAGCAGCAACAACAACAGCTAAAACAGCTAAAACAGCAACAGCAACAGCAACAGCAACAACAGCAACAGCAACAGCATCAACAACAACAGCAGCAACAGCATCAACAGCAACAGCAACAGCAACAGCAACAACAGCAGCTACAACAATTGCAAAAACATAAGCAACAACAACAATACAATTCACAACAAAAAAAGAAAATCGGATATTCCTATGGTGGGGGATTCAAAAGGGTTCAACAACAACAGCGTCAAAGACCTTTCCAAGCTGCTCAACCCGTTCAAATTTATAATAATCAAGTTCCAATCGTTCCTCAAAGAACCGGGTTCAATTTGGTTCAGCAACCACCGATTCATTGGATTCCAGTTCAAATACCTGCTCATCATCATAATCATCAAATGCATTATAATGTTAATAATTATAGTATGGTCCAAACTCAGGAACAACAACTATACTTGCAACAACACGTTTTCTTGCCTCCTAATCCGCGTGGTCCCCACGCCCAACCACTTCACTTGGCTAAGTTGGTTAGAAGGCCTCAATTGGTTAGAATGTAATATATAATTAATAATAAATAACATAATTGAGGATGGATGTTGGAGTTCTCGGGAAAACTTGGAAGAAGTAATTTCTCTTAAAGATAATGAAAAAGAATTCGATATTCTTTTTCAAAATTTTCAAGTTTTTCTTTTTTCACTTTGTAATTATTTTTTCATTTTTTTTAAAAAAAAAAAAAAATTGCTTATTAGCACATTTTTAATAAATATTATTATATATTACAGTATATATATTTTGGGATTTTATTTTGGGTTAAATTTTTTCAAATCAGAATAGTTTATAATTTATTTTTTTGTCAAAAAAAAAAAAAAAATTATTTTTAAAAAAAAAATTGCCATATTTTGTATTTTTCTCTTGCATTATTTTTTTTGTATGTTAATTAAAATAGAATTTTCGTAAATTAATAAAAATTTCACTTTTTTTTTTGTTAAATAGTAATTGCAAGTTTTGTTTTGTCCGTCTTGTTGTCTTGTTGCAATACCGACATAAAAAAAAAAAAAAAAGCATTCAAAATTTTACGCGACAGCATATCACGTGATATTGCGTCACAGAATACGTCATCTACTTATCAAATTCCCAATTTAGCAAATATACTTCGATTACATTTTAATACATAAAAATCCGTGTTTCTTTTTCCCAAGACCACTCTACTTCTCTCTCTCTTTTTTTTTTAACGTTTAGGTTTTTCCGTTATCATTAGAAACTTAATTATATTTACTGCAAGACAGGGTACCTGGTATACAACCTTTTCCTTTTCAATTTTTTTTTTTTTTCCTTTGCATTAAAAATAAGCAAAGCATTTGTCAGAAAAGACGTTCGATACAAACTTTACGTTTAAAAATTTACTAAATCCAAGAAATTTTTTCTTTCTGAAACAAAACGCCCGCGCTTTTCCTGAAAGAACGGATAAACATGTTATTACAAAGCTTGTTAACAACGCGTATACTAGGAACTACGCCAATACTTTACTCTGGTAGTCGTGTTATCGGTGTAAACTTGTTACGACAATATTCTAAAGCTTCCGTGACTAAACCTTCAGAAACTAAACCACAAGAAACAAAAAAGAAAACTTCAATTAAAAGTACTTCAAATAAAAGCGTTTCAAATAAAAGTGTTTCAAATAAAAGTACTTCAAAGAAGGGTAAAAAAAAAGGTAAGCAAATATAGTACAAAAATTGGCCTCAAAAGGAATGCTCTAATGAAAACAATCGATTATCTCGTCATAACCATTCCAAAAAAAGATGAAGCCTTGGTTTCCGTTCCTACAGAACCAAAGAGACCACCAACTGCTTATTCTCTTTTTTACCGCGATTTCTTTCATAAAGAACGAACAAATTTTCCAGAAAAAGTAGACGTGACCGTACTTGCCAAGTTGGCTGGTGAAAAATGGTCAAAGTTATCAGCTGACGAGAAACAAGTAAGTGAATCCTCGTCGTCCTCCTCTGATTTGACTCATTTATTGATCACAAATTTGTTTTTGGTTCAATATACACGAAGGTATATGTTGAAGAACAGAAAAAGTCTGCAGATTCTTATGTAAAAACTCACAAAAAGTGGTTAGAATCTTTGACACCCGTTCAAATTGCTCAAGAAAACAGACGTAGAAAGGAATCTAAATCAAAGAAAGGCGCCAAATTAATAAAAGATCCTAATAAGCCAAAGAAACCTAGAAGTTCCTATATTAATTATGTTGTTGAGCATATTCATGATGATAAAGAAAAAGGACCTGATCGTATTAAAGAACTGGCTACTCAATGGAAGACACTTAGCTCTGAAGAAAAGAAGGTAACAAAAAAAAAAAAAAAAATTTTTTTTTCGCGTTTTTGTTATTGACGGGGGAGGTTTTTTTTTTATTTTATTATTTTTATATTTATTTTATTTTATTTTTTGTAAAAAAAAAAAGCCATATAATGATGCATACGCGAAAGATAAAGAGCGTTACGCTGAAGAGATGGAGTTATACAAAAAGAACTTTTAAAGAAGCATAGATCTGACAAGGTTGTATCAGGTTACATTTCACTTGAAAAAGTCCTCCATTTGATCCCTTCCATCCAATAAAATTTATTTCAAGCAACCTTCTTAATTCATTATCATATCAATTTATTAACTTCAACTTCAGAGATTCTCAACACAGTATAAGTTTGTTTATGGGTTACTCTTTTTCTATGCCTATTCCTTCGTTTCTTTTTAAAGATTTCAATAAAAGGTCCCTTTGGTTGTTCCACCACGGTAGCTTTAATATTATAAAATGCCTCGGAAACTAGAGGCTTACCCTTAATAGTGTAATCTTTTGAACCTAATTCCAAAACCCGATTTAATTTTATCTCATCCCCAACATCTAAATCACGTAATCTATGGGCTATAACCAAATCATTTTTTGTTATCAAGAATTTTTGTGATCGAATTTCTATTACTGCATAATAATGAAGTTGATCTCGTAAACGATCTAGATATTCTTTTGTAGTGGTCGAGAATGATGGGGTATGGGGAGGATATTTCGATGGTGGAAGTGAATGCGAAGGTGGTGGAAGGGGCGAAGTTAATGGTTCTGGCGTAGTTGTGGAAGTTATCAATCTAGATAAAGGTTTTGAGTTATGAACCGCTTGATTAAAATTGTTATAATGTAAATAATGAAATTTTAAAATTTAGAATCAACTAAATATTATGAGAAATAAAGGAAATAAGTTAAATAAGCGTGATAATTCATTTCATTATTACCTTTCAGTGTATTATCAATTTTCTGTGGAGAACGAACATTATCAATGCGTGTAATTGAATTAATAAATATTTTAGAAAGATTATATATCGGTAAAAAATTTTTTTGATTTAAAATCATTTCTTTACCAAAGTTTTTTTTTTTTAAAAGAAAAAAAAATTTGTTAAATTTTTTTTTTGATTATCTGCTTTCATGTGACTTTTTTTTTTTTTAGTTAAATAATCGTACTTCACACGACAGTTTAGTGTTACACCTTTATCAGTTTTTGTCCATCCATTTTTAACACGAAATCCACAAAAAATTTTTAAAAGTATGGGTCGTCATAAAACAAAAAAACAAGCGAGAAAGAACCTGAAGAACAAGAAACGAAAGAAAAGTAAAAATAGAAGAACTCGCAAGATGGCCGAAAGTAATAATAATAGTCCCGAGGATATTCCTATGCTTGAAAGTACTGTATCTATTGAATTTTTTTGGTTGCTTTTAACTTTTGATACCGGTGCTTTTTTTTTATTGCTAAATTAACCTTTACTTAGGTTCTCAAGGTTCTCATAGTAATTGTGATAATCCTTCTGATGATAAGTTCCCTAAATTAAGTTGTAAACATTCTGATTCAGTGGATGTGAAGGACTTTAAAGAGAAATTATTGAAATTTAAAGATATCAAATGTGTGGTGTGTATTTGAACTAGGCTTTTTTTTCTCTCTCTCTCTCTATTTGATTCAGAAATTCTCGCTATAATGATCTAATTTCTTTTATATTATCTCCAATTTTTTTTTAAAAAAAACGAAAAGAATTGTGGTGATAATAATGAGAGTGGTGTAAAAGTAAAAGTTGAACCTTCTGAACCTGATTCGATAGCTACCACTGAAAGGAATGAAGGAGGAGATCTAAAAAATGAAGACTCGGCGTCATCAAAGAATGCTGAAACCTTAACGAATCCAAATATTTGGATCTGTCTTATTTGTAGTGAACCACATTGTGGTCGAGAAGCCAAAGGGCATGCGAACAAACACTATGAAGACAATAAAGAACATGCCCTTTCAATTCATTTTGTAGATATAAGGATTTGGTATGTAATATAGCTTTTGATTGATTTATTTGATGTTTCTTAATATATTTATGTATTAATTTACTTTATGACGATTCCTCTTCTAGGTGTTATAAATGTGATGATGAGCCTAGCATTAATGATGTTTTAACTGAAGTACAAAAGACTATCCATGAATATTCCAAGGAAAAAGAGAATGTGGAGGGAAGGGAGGGAGAGGAAGTGAAGGAGGAAAAGGAAGAAGACGAAGAACGAGGTTGGTTTTTATTGCTCTTAAATCAAATTGACGCTACGACTGGATAATTATACTTTTTTTAACAATTTATTAGTACCAGATTATGAATTAGCAAAAAAAAGTCGGAAAAATCGAGTTCGAGTTACCGCGCCAGGATTGAGTAACCTCGGAAACACTTGTTTCTTCAATTCTGTCATGCAAGTATGTGGCATTTCTTTTATACAGCTATCTTTTAATGTTTCCAACTTGTAATCAGTTTAACATTTTTACTTTTCTACCTGAATTAAACTAGGTTGTTGTGGGTACTTCTGTACTTCATGATATACTTATACCGACGAATCCTTACCATAATCCGCCACATATTGATTCAATTAAATGTATAGCGGCTACAGAGGATAATGTCGATGATCTCACCGATGCTTTTAAAAAATTTCTTCTACAGATGTGGCGTGCTCAGGATAGTATAGTTGCACCGAGAGAATTATTTTCCGAGATTTCTAGAAAATGGCAACAATTCCGTGGATGGCGACAACAAGATAGTCAAGAACTTATGCGCTTTTTATTTGATGGAATAAAAAGTGAGGAGCTCAAGGTGGGAACCTTTTTTTTTTGTTTAAATTTAAATTATGCATGTGATGTAATCAATTCATAGACTTAAAGATGGGTGGATTAAAGTACTTCCTTCTTAATTTGATTTCATTACTATAACTTTGTTAGTAATACATTATAATTTATGAATTTGGGAAATGTAATTCAAGAGGCTTTGTGCGACTCATTAATAAATCTCTGACAATTCAGCTTATGAAAAGGCGTTTCATTAATTATGTAATAAATCTTTAATTTATAGCTGATAAAGAGATATTCTTCAAAGCCTTCAAAAAAAAGAGATCGAGAGAGATACATGTCATATGATGAAGACCGTAAGGATATCCTCATTTCTTTCATTTTCATATTCGAAAAAGTTTAGGTTGACTAAAATATATATTTTTTCATTTAACAGA